TATATGTGATATATATATATATATATATATATCACATATATATATATATATATATATATATATATATATATATATATATATATATATATAAATCATATATATATATATATATATATAAATCATATATATATATATATATATATGATTTATATATATATATATATATATATATATATATATATATATATATATATATATATATATATATATATATATATATATATATATATATATATATATATATATATATATATATATATATATATATATATATATATATATATATATATATATATATATATATATATATATTGGTTGTGCACTTATCGTTTTTATCGAGGAACCTATATTTATTTATGTCTTTTACAATAAGGGCATATGAAAAGAGACACAGTAGACGTGTCCAAAAAGAATATTAAAAAATACTAGAATTTTTATCAGTACATATAGAAAAAAAATCGAATGTTGGAACTTCTAAAAGAAATGATATCTTATCTTGCAAAAATCTAAAAGAATATTTTGACCATTATGAGTTATTGATTTTGTACAATGAATACTCTTATGACCAAAAGCCTAATGAGTATAAGCATAAGCCAACTTTAAAGGAAAGTTTTTCTGCATGTTTTTCTAACCAAGTAATTATGCACTAAACAAGTGGATTGACAAAGAATAGCAACAAATTTATTGTCCCAAAAAAAAAACTATAATCATGCACTGAAAAACAACCTTTTTTTCAACATAAGAAGGGCGCAAATTTCCATTGATAAAGTGTAAGATAGCAGATAGTCCAACTTGTTTTAAGTTTTTTTAAAGGTAACTTAATTACTTTTTTGTAGCAAAATGTTTTATAATTAGATTCATTTTCATGTTGTGAAGAATGCAACTTTCTACATCAGATGAAATGTATGTTAAAGAAAGCATTAAAAATAAGAATAATAAATCATACCGCTCTTCATTGCCAGAACCTCCGCCACCTATTATGAATAAGCCCAATGCTAAAAGTGTATAACACAAACATCATAATTTTTTCTTAATGGTTTTTAAACTGAAATAGATTCTTGTTTAATTTGGTCTGAATAATATCTATCTAGCTATTAGTCTTTTTTATGTATTACTAAGATTTTCCTTTTGTTTTAACTATTTGGGTGTCCTGTTATTTGTAATGTTGCTAAATTAAATACATATATTTAAATGATTGACAACATTCTATTGTATTAAATAATCCTTTAATCAACTTGATATGAAAATTGAAAATCAATTGAAAGCATGCTGAAATTGTTTAAATTCAGAAATTGAAAGAGTACAAAATTGGTTGAAAGATTAAATTAAGTAACATGTATGGTTGAGGAATTATTTATAGTTCTAATTATAATTATTTCTTTTGAATAGAGTTGTTATCAGATTCAAAGATTAAAGAAGATGATTTTTCTTCACATTTTATTAATGAACAGAATAAAACAAAACAAAGTTCACATTGTCAAAGAGTCTCAAGTTTTAATATGAGTATTTTTGGTTTTTACACTACTGAATGTTAATGTGGAGGTCTTTTTTATTAATTTGTTTTTGTATTAAAATAGTTGTATTATTTTAATACAAAAAAAGATAGGTATAAGAGAATAGAAATGGATTATTTATGATCCGATAAATCATGTGTGTAGTATTTTACCTTTACTAGTTTTACAAAATTCTTTAATATCGTAACCCTTTACAGGATAAAGTTTTAGCTGATTTAAAAAGTAGGTTTTCCAAAATATTATGGCAACTTCTGCGATGGAGTAATAAATAAAACTTACATGTGTTTTTGGAATTTTAGTTTGAGTTACTCAAGCATAATTTGAATTTTAAAGTTCTTATATCATTGTTTTTGCTATTTGTTTTTATGAGCTAAATATGTTAATCAATCTTTTTATTCTTGTTTGTAGAGATGCAAAATGTTATTATCAACGAGCTTGCAGAAATAAAAGTTCTTTTAAAAGAAGTTATAGAAATTAAGTTTCAGGCTACTAGGGTGAAGTTGCTAGAATCAGTGGACGAAGTGGTTACACTGGATAATAAACTAAAAGATAAAACCGAGTATACTAATTTGGTATAATCTAATTATCTTAATTTTTAATAAGTTTGTTTAAATTTGGTTTACTAGTTTAGAATCTAAATGAAAAGTATTTGTAAATGAACTAAAATTACTAGCTTGTGTTAGACTCAATATGTTGTAAAGAAATTTAAGTTACACTAGTTTTTATTACATTTATTTCAGCTTGATAGTTTGAAAAAGATTGGTGGTGGAAAGCCAAGAGAACATGTTTTTTTGATCATGAAAAGGTTAATGATTATGTTTTTATTAATTATTAGAAATATGATTAATAGGGACCGAAAGCAATTCATTTTGACCGTTATTTGTTATGGATTTACTTTTAACATGAAAATTTGATAAACTCGGTAGCTTCACTTTAGGTGTTTAAGTTTGTTTGTGTGCTAAAGTAAGTGTAATGCAAAACCTTGT